CTTCACCCTCCTCTTCTTCCTCCTCCTACTCCTGCTGCTCCTCCCCCCTCCTCCTTCTTTTCTTCACTTTACCCCCGCCTCTCCGCTTCGTGGCGTCACTCACAAATCTAGTTGTGAACGCAGCTCCCCAATCAGTTCTGCGAGCAGCCTCCTGCTACGAAACATTACTCGCAAAACTAGCTGTGAACGCCGCTCCACACCTAGTTTTGTGAGTGATGTCTTCCTCCTCACCCTCGTCATGCTCCTCGCCCTCCTCTTCTTCCTCCTCCTACTCCTCCTGCTCCTCCCCATCCTTCCTCCTCCTTCTTTTCTTCACTCAACCCCACCTCTCCGCTTCATGGCGTCACTCACAAATCTAGTTGCGAACGCAGCTCCGCAACCAGTTTTGCGAGCAGCCTCTTGATAAGAGACATTACTCGCAAAACTAAATGTGAACGCCGCTCCACACCTAGTTTTGTGAGTAAGGTGTTGCTCCTCACCTTCGTCATGCTCCTCACCCTCCTCTTCTTCCTCCTCATACTCCTCCTGCTCCTCCCCCCTTCCTCCTCCTTCGTTTCTTCACTCTACCCCCACCTCTCCGCTTCGTGGCGTCACTCGCAAATCTAGTTGTGAACGCAGCTCCACAACCAGTTTTGTGAGCAGCCTCCTGCTACGAAACATTACTCGCAAAACTAGCTGTGGACGCCGCTCCACACCTAGTTTTGTGAGTAAGGTGTTGCTCCTCACCTTCGTCATGCTCCTCACCCTCCTCTTCTTCCTCCTCCTACTCCTCCTGCTGCTACGGCTCCTGATCACTCAGCCCCCTCCTCTCCACTTCGAGGCGTTACCCTCCAATCTAATTGCGAATGCAACTCCACAACAAACCTTGCGAGCAACCTTCCGCTACGAATCATTATTCACAAAACTTGTTGTGAGCGCCGCTCCGCAGCTAGGAAGAGGCGGTGGGAAATGGGGGAGGATGTTGCTCAACTATGGCTGGTGCCACTGGAGCTCGGCATTCACCAGATGACGCGGAGGAGGAGGAGGAGGAGAACAAACGGCTCAATTTTGAGGAGTAGGGCAAATAGGGTTTGGAGGAGAAGGTGGAGGAGGAGGTGGTGGAGGGGGAGGAGGAGGAGACGATGAGCAGGAGGACAAACATTGGGAGGATGAGGAGAAGGAGGAGGAGGAAGAGGTGAATGAGGATTCAGAGAAGGAGGAGAAGGAAGAATAGTATGAGGATTCTGATGAGGATGACAAACATGAGGGGGAGCTTGAGGAGAATTTAAAGAAGGAGGAGGGGAAGAGAAGCAGGAGGAGGACAATGAGTTTAAATTTGCGGAATCGGAATAGGAGGAGGACAACATGCCGAAGAGGAGATGGAGGAGGATCCAGAGAAGGAAGATGAAGAGGACAAGGAGGAGGAGGAGGAAGAGGAGGACAAGGAGTTTGAAAGTGAGAGGGGGTAGGAGGAGGAGAATGATGAGGACAAACATGAGGAAGAAGTGGATGAGGATTCATAGAATGAGGAGGACGAGGGGAAGGAGAAGGAAGAGGAGGAGGAAGAGAAGATTTGAGGCCAATGCATTTGATTTTGAAGCGGAGGGGGAAGAAGACAAACATAAGGAGGAAGAGGATGTGGAGGAGGATTGGGAGACGGTAGAGGAGGAAAATGAGGAGGAGGATGAGGAGGACAAGGCGTTTGGTATCGAGGAGGAGGAGGAAGAGGAGGACGAGGAGGAGAGGACAATTATGAGGAGAAGGTGGAGAAAGCTTCAAAGAAGAAAGATGAGAAAGAGAAAGAGAGGGAGGGGGAGCTTGAGGTTGAGAAGGAGTAGGATGCTGAGGAGGAGGGGGAGGAGGGGCATCATAAACATGAGATGGTGAGATTGGATTGCAATGCGCCGCGAAAGACTGAAGTCGCTTCGCGCTGAAGTGTTTGGATTGCAATCGACGGAATTGCGGTTTGCAACGTAGCAAACCATCATGAAGAAAAACAGGAGGAAGGAACGGGTTATGATGACTGGAGGGATGATGGGAGAATGTGTATGATCATGTGTGTGTGTGTGTGTGTGGGGGGGGGCGAACATATATATATATATATATATATCCCTGCGGGTGCACTTGCACCTGGTGCAAGATGTATGATTCGTGTCGTATATGCACGTATATGTTTCTTTGTAAGTGTAAGTATGTGTACGTGTATACCGATGTGTATAGGGTATATGTAGATGTGTATGTATGTGTGTATGTGTACATCTGTGTAAGTGCGTCCTGTGAAGAGGAGCCTCAGGGAGGCCCAGGGAGCTTCAGGGAGCCTCAGGGAGCCTCAGTGAGCCCCAGTGCGCCTCAGGGAGCTTCAGCGAGCCTCAGGGAGCCTCAGGGAACGTCAGAGAGCCTCAGAGAGCCTCAGAATGCTTCAGGGAGCCTCAGGGAGCCTCAGAGAACCTCCGAGAGTCTCAGGGAGCCCCTGGGCCCAAGGAGGCTCCGCGAGCCACAAGGAGACCTGCAGTAGTCGCACCTGGGCATGCCAAAGTGGCACGCTGGGAGCCTCAGGGCCTGGGGCCAAAACGGCTATGTGGTGCACCAGTGGCATGAATCGGGTGCAAGAACCATGTAGAAAACAGCACCAAAAAGCACAGTGCTTTTTGGTAGTGGTCACCATGCTGGTCTCGCCTCGAGGCGCAACTCGTTGAAGGATCGCATCGATCTCTGGGACGGCTGGGGCAGTGCTTGGTTGAGGCCAGGGCGTTATTTGGCGACGGCTGGGACGCCGCCCATCCAGGAAACACCGACCCAGCCGTTGGAAGCCCTGGCCAGACTAGCCTTTTGCCCAGGATTGGTGTGTGTGTGTGTGTGTGTGTGTGTGTTCCCTGCCAGGGCAGGAGGTATACACATCGATCCTGGGCCCTAGGTGGGCCTGGCCAAGATCGGAGTACGGGAGGTTCGTGCCGTGACGACCTCGGCGTTGGTCTCTGACTTTGCGCGACTGGCTCAACCTCTGACGATCGCGGCTCTCCGAAAGCGCAGGCCGTTCAATGTTGAAGGAACGGCTGCTGGCGGCGTCCAACCTCGAACGCTCGCTGTTTGGACATTGCACAAGTCGACACGCATATCCCTCATATCCCAGCATGTACGACGCACTACCAACTACAACCTTGTCCAACTGCCCAGCCGCAACAAGCTAGTAACGACGCACAACGCCGCGGATACGAACCACGCGCTACAACGATCCACCAGGTGCAAGTGCACCCGTTAGTGTATATATATGATATGTATATATATATATATATATATATATATATATATTATATATATATATATACATGGACGCCCCCCCCCAAAAACCACCAAAGCCACACAACGATCATTAATCGTTTGCTCCTCCTCTTCCTCCTCCTCTTCCTCCTCCTCCTCCTCCGCAAAGCTTGGTCGGGAGAGTCGCCGTAAGAGAATGGACCACGAAACAATGGCAGGCACAGGTATTTGGTTTTGTGGCCAGAGATTCCACGAAACCATGGCAGGCACATGTTTTTTTTTTGTTTTTCTTGGTTTTCAGGAGGTCCCACAGACTTCCGTGGCCAAGAGCTTCGGGTCTCCTGAAAACAAAAAAAAACATATGCCTGCTATGGCTTCGTAAGGGGCGTGGCCACGAAACCATGGCAGACGCATTTTTTAACATTTTTTTCCGGTCAGAATCTCGGACCCAAAAACCCAAACAACCTGTGCCTGCTATGTTTTCGTGAGAGCGTGACCACGAAACCATGGCAGGCACATTTTTTGTCACAGATACAACGAAAACATGGCAGGCATTATAAATATATATATATATATGTGTATATGTATAAAAATGTTTCGTGGTATCTATGACCAAAAAAACAAAAAACAACCTGTGCCTGCCATGGTTTCGTGGTCACACTCTCACGAAACCATAACAAACACCGGTCTTTTTGGTCCGGAGCTCTTGGCCACGGAAATCGGTGGGACCTCCTGCAAACCAAAAAACAAAAAAACTTGTGCCTGCCATGGATTCGTGGTACCTCTGACCAAAAAACCCCAAAAACCTGTGCGTGCCATGGTTTCGTGGTTTATGCTCCGATTCTGCCCTGTTCTCTGTCTCCTTCTCCTCCGCTTCCTCCTTCCTTTTTCTTCTCTTCCTCCTCCTCCTTCTCTTCATCACCATCCTCACGTATTCCTGCATCCTCATCCCTCATCGCCATCCTTGAACCCAAACCGACAGGATTCGAATGCGGTGCGCAGAAATAATGGGACGCAAACGACAGAAGACTAGACGACCGACCGCGCCCAAATGCCGATGAGTGTGACTCTGTCTATCACCGTTCGCACCAATCATAAGCAATATGCTTGTCCGCGCACATTTCGCTTGGGCTTCACAATGCTCTGAAATTGACTACAGAGAAAATTCGATCGTCATGTTGCGTGTAGATATAAAACAAACGGCTTTTGGAACATCAATTTCGCCCCAGGAATGCCCAAGAGGCCCCCAAGAGGCACCCGAGCCGGACCATTAGGGGCCCCAGACGGCCCCAAGAGGGGGAGCCAGAACCGACAATCCGAGCCTTCCGCTCCAAAACGGCCCTAGGAACCCCCAAGAAGCGCCCCCCAAGAGGCCCCAAAACGGCCCCCGAGAGGCTTTGAAACTGCCCCCGCGAAGCCCGCGAGAAGCAGCGATCACCGCGAACGCCTCATACCCACAACCCACGCACAGTGGCGGGATACGCCGAAGGCAAATAGATACAAAACGAACGGCTTTTGGAGCATCAGTTAACCTCTGCGCGTTGGAAACACCGAGTTGCCCCTCGGCAGTGGGAGCGTACATTGCTTTGCTATTGTCAGAACAGCGGCGCGCGTGCAAACTCCCTGGAACGGGAAACGCGAAACAATAAAACCGGCATGTTGCGCCTAGCTATTAACATTGTGTTGTCTTCTGTGGTTCCTCTCACCCTCGTCCTCTCTTTATCCCTTTAATGCGTTTTCTTCTTGCGCCTCCATCCTCTGGCCCTCGTTGCCGCCCCGTAGCCAGCAGCGCTCGCGGTGGTTTTTCCAATCGCAGAGCGCCTTAGGCGAGCAGAGATAGAAAAAACGGTCTCTGTGGCGGCGCCTTTGGCCTCGCTGAGAACCAAAAACCAAAAGAGTACACGTGCCATCGGGGCGCAGCAGACCCAGGCGCTGCCTCGCGCAGCACCTTCTCTCTCGGCAACATGTGGCGGCATTCCTGCCACCTCGGCAACGGGCGGTGCCACTCGGAAATCTCTGGAGGCTTCGGGGGCTCCCGGGTCGCAGGGGCGTCGCCCGCTCTCTTGCTCCGCGGCGGGGGCGCGCGCTGAATCCGCCGCGCACCGCGCGCGATGTTCAGTTGGTCCTTCGTTCTGCCTGTCCTCCTCCCCCACTGCTCGTCCTCGTTCGGCGCCCCTCCTCTCTGTCTGTTTTGTGTTCTCCGTTCCTCCTCCTTGTCCTCCTCGTTGCTGCGCCCTTCTCATGCTCCTCCACCTCCTGCCCCTCCTCCTCTTCCTCCTCCTCCTCCTCCTCTTCATCGTCATCATCCTCTTCGTTTTCTTTACTTTCTCAAACGGGCGGAACAGCATGAGCTATGAATATAATAGGATCTACAAAGAAAGCGCAAAAAGCGAACTTGTCAACCGAAGGAAACGGATTAGCTGGCGCTCCCCACGAGTTCCAGCGCCGGATTGTGCTTGTTGAAACATCCCAACGCACGGCCGACATCGCGTGCGTCGGGGAGGGCTCGCCGCCCGCGGGAGGCGGCCCCATCTTCGCCATCGCTGCACTTGGGTTCCACCCAACCACTTTCTCGACCGCCCAACCCGCGCTCCGGAAGTCCGTCGTGAGGCGGGCGTCGAAGCCGAGCTCGAAGACGCGGTCGAGCGTCTGCAACCGCAGCGGCACTGGCGCCTGTTGGACGGCGTCAGGCCAAGCCGCGTCCAAGTCCGACTTGCCGAGGGCCTGGGAGTACACGCGTGTGACGTCAAAAAACACGTCGTACTTCGCCGCCATGCAAGAGGACACCGCCGCGGACGCCGCGCGCAGGGAGCAGAGCCTGCGCTGCCCCTGGTCCAGCATCCTGAGACACGATTGAAATCACAACCAGAAACATATTCAAAACGATAACCACAACCAGCCAGCTTCCACATAATCAAAACCAAAGCCAAACATTGCAACCATATACAAAGAAAACTAACTTAGGACAAATCCCGAATCCGAAAACAAGCAGAACCAAAACCATAGCCAGAAACCGAAACCAAGACCTGCGCAGCTGCGGCGGCGGGCGGCTGGCCAGCTCGTGGAGAGCGCGCGCGTCGCCGGCGCTGGGCTCGCTGTCTGCTGGCTGCGGCCTGTCGTCCGCGGGAGAGCCCCCCTCGGTGCCCCTCGGCGCGGGCGCCTCGCGCGGCCGCGGCGTCTTGTTGCTGTCCTGCGCGCCCTCGCCCCCAGTGGCCCCCGTCGTGGCAGCCTCCTCTGGGCGCTGGCGCCCGCTGCCGTCGGGCTCGCTGCGCCGCGCAGAGCGCGAGCGTTCAGGAGGAGGGGCGTCCGCCCTGAGGTCCGCGCGCCAGGAAGCGGCTTCGTCGTGGTAAAGCTGCGCCATCCACTCCTCCTGTGAGGTTGCACCCGCGACCATGGATTCACATTTCACTCGTCTGGTCGGCTATGATATGATTGTTTGTCATTGTGCACCTGATCGTTTGGATTCCTTGTTTTGTTTCGGCACTCGTGCCAATCATTGATAGAATGGCTGCGCGACAAGATTTTCGCTTTCACATTTCTTGGAATGGTTGTCGTTGCGTACGTGGTTGTAGTTATAGCGAACGTCATGGCGGTGATGACGTCCATTGCGTGTGTCTTGGTGTGAGTACTTACTCCGGCTTTGGTTGTGATCATCACTGTAAGTACTGTTTGTCGTTTGTAGTTTTTGCTATGGCTACGATTGTGCTTCAGGTTGTGTCGTACGGTTCTGGTACAATTAAAACTGGTTGTGTATGTACTTGGTTGTGTGGTCCATCGCTATTGTTATGTAAATGTTTCTGGGCATGGTGACGGGATGCAAACTCAGGGTCCTGCTTCAGGCTGGCGTGCGCGGCCAGCTCGCGCAGCACCGCCCCGCGTTTGTGGCCAGTCAGCGCTGCCGTGGCGTTGGCGTCTTGGCACAAAACGCAAAAGCCAGATGTCTTCATCATGGACGGCTTGCCTTTGGCTCCCCAAGCGCACGCTTTGTTGAGACAGTACCCCCCCATGGCTGGTCTGTGCTGCCGGTTGTGGTCGTGGTGGGTGGTGCGCTACGTAAAATTTGAAACCAAAAGCGGCTAAGGGATGACCGGAGCGAAATAAGAATAATCAGAAGAGTAAGAAACCGCACGAACACGATGAAGTGCATGAAAGGAAGCGCGAGGAGCGTGAAGCTCGTCCTCCACCTCCCATTATCATCGCCATCACCATCATCATCGCCATCATCGCCACCATGCTCATCCTAATCCTGATCATCGTCATCGTCGTCATCGGCATCGTGGTTGTATTCGTACTCGTACTCGTACTCGTACTCGTACTCGCACTCGTACTCGTACTCATCATCATCATCATCATCATCATCATCATCATCATCATCATCATCATCATCATTATCGCCATCATCACCATCATCATCATCATCATCGTCGTCGTCTCTCCTCGGTCCTCCCCATCTAATACTCATCTTGGGCGTCCTCCCGCCCATTGCACTCCGCCAGCTCCCGTGAATTGACGTGGAAGAATGAGGAGGAAAGACAGATTTATGGATGAGGAAGAAGAGATGCGGCCTGAGCAGAGGGAGAAGGATGAGGAGAACAGTGGAACGAAGGAAGCGAAGAGGAAGAAAAGGAGAGGAAGAGAGGAGGAGGTAGGTCCCTGTGGGGGGTGCTGGGGGGGGGGGGGCGAGCATATATACATATGTATTTATATATATATATATGTATATGTGTATGTATATGTATATGTATATGTTTATGTTTATGTTTATGTTCATGTTTATGTATATGTATATGTGTATATATATATGTATAACATCATGTGTGTATATATGCATATAAGTATGTGGGTCAATCTGCGTGGTACAATCTACGTGGTGCAACCTCTGTTGTGCTATATATGTTGTGCGATCTATGCCTTGCAACCTGAAGCGTGCACATTTTGTAGAAATATCTACGTGGTAAGGATTGTGTGGTGCCGTCCAGCATGTAGCGCAGTCCATGTTGCGTAATCTATGTTGTGCAATATCTGTGGTGCGATCTATGTGATGTGACAAATCTGTGGTGTAATCTTTGCGGTGCCATAAATGTTGTGCAATTTACGTGGTGCGGTCCAGGTTGTGCATTATGTCGTGCAATCTATGTTATGCAACACACGTAATGCAAACCATGATGTGCAATCTACGTGGTGCAATCTATGTGGTGTAATCTGCGTGGTCGAATCCGTGTGGCGCGATCTATGTAGGGCAATTAATTTCTGTTCGCAATGACTTGTCCACTCCACTGCTTGCGCAAACATCCCACCCACCCACCCGCAACTTGGCTTGCAAAATCTATTAAGACCGTGACGGTGGGTACCAAATGGCACTTGGCAACGACAGCGACGCCGACGAAGACAGCGACAACGACGACGACGACGCCGCTGACAACGACTACGACGACACCGACAACGTCTCCAACGACTTCGACGACACCGACAACGACGACGACACAGACGACGACGACGCCGCCGACGACGACGACGATGACAACGACGACGACGACGACGCCGACGACAACCACGGCACCGACGACGACGACGTCAACGACGCCGACGACGACGACGACGACGACGGCGGCGACAACGACGACACCGACGACGACGACGACGTCGACGACGACGAAGACGACGACGTCGCCAACGAAGACGACGACGAGGGAGGAGGGAGGACGACGACGGCGACAACGACGACAACGACGACAACGACGAGGGAGGAGGGAGGACGGCGACGACGCAAACGACGAAGAAGGAGGAAGGACGGCGACGCCGACGACGACAACGACGAGGGAGGAAGGAAGACGACGACGACGACGACGACGACGACGGCGACGAAATAGGAGGGACGACGACGAGACGCCGACGACGGACGACGACGACGACGAGGGAGGAGGAAGGACAACCACGGCGACAACGACGACGGAAACGACCACGACGCCAAAGAGAACGACGACGACGAACACGAGGAAACACAGAGGACGACGTAGGCGACGACGACGACGACGCGGGAGGAGGGAGGACGGCGCGACGACGACGACGACGCAAGAGCGCGCGCGCGCTTTTGTTGAACACCCGTGTTGCGAAACCTTGTGTTTTTGTATGTTTTTTTGGACACACAATTTTGAAATCCTTCGGGGACCGATGGGTTTTGTTGGATTTCGGCATACGCGCGCGACGACGCGCGCGTCTGCACTTCGTCCCGTTTTTTGAAGAGGATTCCCGCGACGGCACACGCGCAAGGGCGTTCGACAGATTTCGGCATGCGCGCGCGGGAAGCCCGTTTGGTAGCACTTTGTGAAAATCTTGGAAAACCACAAAAAGGTTTTCTTAAGATTTCGCAAGAGTTCGTGCGTAAGTTTTTTAGCAAATCAGTGTTGCGAAACCTTTTTTTTTTTTTTTTTTTTTTTTGGTGTTGTTTTGAAGCTCGATTGCGAAATCCTTCCGACACCAAAGGTTTGTGAAGGATTTCGGCATGCGCGCGCGACGACGCGCGCGCGCGTGCACTTCGTCTCGTTTTTTGCAAGGTATTCGTGAAACAAGTCTTATTCAAAAAAATGTCCCCGCGTATTGTTTTTCACAAGGGAATCTCAGAGGGGGGCGATAACGGCCCCCTGGGATAGTGTAAATTCATATTTAGGATGGACATGTGGTCAGAATCGTATATGATCTACATACCCGAAAAGGGGGGCGGATAACGCCCGGGGGATAAAGTTTATTCAGTTTTTAGAAACGAGAATCTATGTGGTGGAATTTGTGTGATGCAATCTGGATAGTGCACTCTATATGGTGCAACTGATATTAATAAACGAGCTGACACATCCCATGCTCTTGCAACCATGTAACCCACCCACCCGCAAGTTGGGTTGCAAAATCCAGACGGTGGCGATTGTGATGCATGCCTGGCGTTGGCTGGTGCATCTCTGCGGCCGCGCCAACCCAAACACGTGCGCGCAGCGGCCAGCTAGTTTGGCGCGACCGACGCGGCCGCGGTGGCGCTGACCGCGGGGCACATCCCAGCGGGCACTTCACTGCGAATCGGCGACTTGGGCGGGCGCGGTAGCATTGCAACGTCGACAACAGCAGACACGATGATGATCCTAGCGATGCCGGTGACGATGTTGACAACGACGAAGGCGCGGCGAGTGCGGGCGCCGATGCTGATCAGGCCGACGACGCCGACGACGATGACGGCGCCCTCCCGTCGGTGATGAAGTTTTTGAAACGAATTCGACATGCGCGCGTGGCCGACGCGCGAGACTGGACCAGATGGTATACTTTGACACGGATCGTGCCCCCCCAGCACGCGCGCAAGGGCGTGCGAATGATGTCGCATGCGGCGCGAGAGGCCCGCTTGGCAGAATTCCATGAAAATGTTAAAACATCTATGGTTGTTTGTTTTTAAGAATTCGCAAGAGTGCGAACGCACGCTTTTCTGACAACGAATGTTGCGAATCCCTGTTTTTGGGATGTTTTTGGACACTCGGCTTTGACATCGTTACGGCAACGAATGTTTTTGACAGATTTTGGCATGCGCGCGCGACGACGCGCGCGCACTTCGTCCCGCTGAGTGCAAAGGATTCTCGTGACGGCACGCGCGCAAGGGCTTTCGCACGATTATGGCATGCTTGCGCGCGAAGCTCGTTTGGTATAATTTTGTGAACAGGTTGAAAAGCCGATGGTTTTCTCCAGAATTCGCCAGAGCGCGCACAAGCTTTTTTTGAATATCCCTGTTGCGAAACCACTTTAGGCAAACAGATTTTTTTGGACACTCGAATTTGAAATCCTTACAACACCGATGGTCTGTGAAGGAATTCGGCATGCGCGCGCGACGCCGCGCGCGTGTGCACTTCGTCAAACTTCTTGCAAAGGGTTTTTGACAACTGATGATTTTTGACAAACGATTGCGCGCGCATGGAATTCTTTGCAGAGGATGACGGGGGGAACGATACCGGCCTGGCTGGGATGGTACGGGTTCATGTTTAGGATGGACAATGCAGAGTCATATGTACATTGCACTGCGAAAAGGAGCTTTCAAATTGGTGCAGCCAACTTTTGTTCGCAATGAATTGTCAACTCCAGTAACCGCGCAATGTTCTCGCCAACCCACCCGCAAGTTGGTCTGAAAAACCAATGAGGCGACAATTGTGATGCCTGCCCTGCGCTGGCTGGCGAATCGCTGCGGCCGCGCTAGCGCGCGCAGGCTCGCACGCAGAGCGGCCAGATAGTCTGGCGCGACCGGCGCGGCCGCGGTGGTGCTGACTGCTGGGGACTTCCTGACGGGTCTCAAAGGCCGCGCTAGCGCGCAGGTAATTCAGTGCGAGTCGGTGACTCATGCGGGCGCGGTATCATTGCGACGTCGACAACGGCAGACGCGATGATGATTGCAGCGATGCGAATGACGACGGTAGCGATGACGACGGCAATGCAAATTGGGGCACCCATGCTGACCTCGGCGATGACGATGATGGTGTCTACGCGTCGATAGTGACGGTTTCGGAAGGATTTCGACATGCACGCGCGGCCGACGGGCGACCGTGGCCCGCATGGAATTATTTGACGCGGATCGTGTCCCCCCAGCACGTGCGCAAGGGCGTTCGAATGACTTCGACACGCGCGCGCGACAGGCCCTATTGGTCGAATTTGGTTGAACATGTTGAACAACCAACGGTTCCTTTAAGAATTTTCAAGAGCGCGCCGATTTTCCACCTTGTGAGAACTGATGCTGCGACGCATTTTTTGTTACATATATATATATATATATATATATAATTTTGGGACGTTCGATTTTGAATTCTTCGCGAAACCTACGGTTTTGGAAACATTCCGGCACGCGCGCGCGACAACGCGCGCGTGTACACTTCGTCACATTTGTTGCAATGGAATTTGGCAGTGGGTGGTCTTTGATAAGCGAATGTGCGAGCATAGGGCTTTCTGCAAAAGATGGTGCGGTGGTGGGGTCGAACCTGACCTGGATGGGACGGGCATATATCCAGGCGCGGGGATAATCCCCGAGGG